CCCCCCGCCGGGCGCAGCCTCAGCCGTGAATGGGAAGCATTGCTCCCCACACCGCACCCGGGCCTGTAACCGCCGTGGGGAAAAGTACTTGCAGATGTGAAAACCTGGGTGTTGTGTCGTGTGCCTTCAGGCAGGTGACGTTTTAGTTACACAGGGAACCAACGGGTTTCTCTGAGCTGCTGAAAGATAAAGCTGATTCCCTTTCCTTTTTCCAAAAGAAAGAAGTTTTGGTATGACAGCCCTACCCTGGGATCTAAAATGGTAAGTGCAAGCTTTTTAAGGTGCCGTGTTTACCTGTGCCAGGAGGAACAAGCTTGTGCTTCTGCCATTGTGTCTAACTTTGGGAAAAGCATTTTCTGGTGGAGGAATAGCAGGATTTTGTGAACGAGCACTAGAGCTCCAGTTTCACTATGACATGCCAGGATTGCTGTCAAGAGAAGCCGTTGGGTTCCCCATGGCCGTTTCCTCTTCTGTGCTGATCTTTCATCCGCACCGGCACCAACGCTCTCGTGCACGCTCTTGAGCCCATAGCGGAGAACTGATCCAGATTAAAACTTTCGTTTACCAGCTTAGTTTTACGGAAAACAAGTTTTCATGTTTGTTTTTCAAACAAGCAATGCTTTTCACTTAATACACACTGTATTTTAGAAAACTGATTTATTGAGCTGTATAACTTGCTACAAAATAATGAAACTAAGAAACCTTGACTGTAATACATGAAGGTCAAAGATTTTGTGAACAGAAATATTCTTTATTGAAACACCTGATACATAAGAGCTATATAAAGCCATCACAGCTTCAGTAATGGCATTCTGAGAGCATACTTAGTGGAGTGCACAAAACTCTATATAATTGCCTAATACAAGTTTGTAACTATTGATTAATGTGTTGGGTTTGGTTGTTTTGGTTTTTTTTTTGAAGATGTATAAACCAACCAAGTTGGCCTCTGTAATGAAAGATGACCAGACAAAAACTAGGAAAGAAGATAACATACGCTGCAGAGTCTTGAATAGTCTTATTCATAAAGCTGTGGCAGAGATGATGACTACCTGTGAAATTAATCAAGAACTTTATGATCTCAAGCTGGAAATCTGCAAGGCAAGTGCCAAAGCTACAGCTTGCGTTGAGCCGCTCTGACTACACCTTGAGGTCGGCATGGCGCACCAAAGGAGCTTCTCTGGGTGTTGTGATATGTGCAGGAAGAGTTTTACTGCATTGCTTTTGATGTGGCACAGCACAGCAAGATGAGGCTCTGGATTCACTTTGCACACTAGGAGAACTTTGCCACTGTTGTACCTGGCTTAGTAGACCTTTGCCACTATCATGCAAATGCAACTGAGGCCAATTAAGTGGTGATTCTCCTGGTACGACTTTTTTTTTTCCTGTTACTCAGACATGTACTATTTGCCTTGTCCTTTCAGAAGGAGGAGCCTGGTTTTACCAATGTAAGTGTATCTTTCCAAGAGTCTTTTCTTTGTGCAGCTGTGTGGGAGTTGATACCTCCTTGTGTCCCTCACCAGCATCATTACACAGGCAGAAGACCTAAGTGGGGCATGAGCTTGGTTCAAAAAAAAAGGCAAGCCTAAGAAAATGGCTTTGGCAAGCAAGGTTCCAGAAAGAATTGGAATTTGTACCTAATTGTAGCTAGTGTTGTCATAATTGATGGGTTTGAAAGGGATGTTAAAGCTCTGATTCAGAAACTAAGTCAGTCTCCACATTCTTGTTTGTAGTTTTTTCTTCTACATTTGCTGTTTTGTTAAGATTAAATGATACCAGTGTTTGGCTTAAAAGCTTGATGGACTTAGCTTTGTTAGAAGCATGGAAAAAAAAAATTGCACCCCATAGCTGCATGTAGGACAAGGGGTTTGTCATTTATGATTGAAACAGATGTTTTTGCCAGCTGAATTCATTCTGTCTTCAGGCAAGTGATTAAAATTACATGGGTAAGATGAATCTTTTGGCTCTATATGTGCAGTATCCTTCAAATAGTATTTTTTTCTCTCTGGGGCTTTGAGGATTGCTTGTCTAACTCGAATGGCATGTCTGCACATAAAAATACTGGCTGGTGTAGGCAAGCCACAGCACTTCCAGGAGGCATGGCTGTAAATGAAACAACTTATAACGTGAGAGAGGGAAAGAAACAGCCTTCTTCCAAATATAGTGCAGATTTTATTATAACTGCGTAGTGCTTAGTGTTCGTGCTGCACTGGGATGTGGCTGAGATTCAGTCCTGCTTTACTCTTGAGCTGATTCTGGTCCAATATCGTTACTTCCGTTATCAAAAGAAATCTTCTAGTAGGCTTTCTGCAATCCATCAGAATCTTTTTCGGTATCAAAAGTTAAAATTACATAATAGTAATACAGATAAGAATTATGCTTCCGGCTTGATACATCAAACTTTTATCCACTAGATAACATTACTCATGTGATGATGAAGAAATGGCTTGTGTCAGATCAGGTTGTTTATGTGCTTACATTAGACTCAGTGTGGGAGATAGGGAGGGTTAATCCTGCAGTAGATGCAGCCAGTTAATGATCACTGTAGGGTTTGTTTTTTTTTTAATGAGTGATGGGTTTCCTGAGGCAAGAGGTATCTGGTGGTGGAAAAAATTAGTATCTACTTTGGTTTTTGGAGACAGTCCATTCTGCCCTAGGAAAGAGTAGCACTGTCAACAGCAGACTGTGATGCAGTTTTCACTCCTGGGAATACTCCGATGGAGTTGTCTTTTTCTGCTAACGTCTGTAGACACCTGTCTGTTTGCAGAGTTGGTTTCTGGACTAGATGACCTCTGAACTGTGCCTTCTAATGGGTAGTTTATGCCTTCTCCTCCCTCTTCCTCAGCTCCTTTCTTTGGTTGAGCCAGATAGGTTATTAGAAGTTTGCTGAGTGTACTCTCATAGTGAGAACCTGTTCTGTAAGACGCTGCTAGATGTGATGAATGACGGTTATAGAAATCTTTCAGAATCCAATTTGTGTTTCAGAAGTTTATTCTTCAGGAAGATTGTCAGTCTATCTCATGTGTGCTTTGGCCCCTGCACACCATGCCTTTTCAATTGCATGCACGACAGTTATAAATATTATCTGTTAGTGAGCTAGAGCACTGGAGGTTCCCAGCAGGCTTTAGAGCTGGAGAGACTCTTACATTACAGTGGCAAGGAGGGTGTCCTCTCTTCTGTCAATATCAAAACCAAACTCTGGGTGACAACAAACCAGGCAGTATCACAGGTCCTTCTTTAGCGGAAACTTACACTTTCAACTGTATTCCAAAACAACATGCCATAAATTGTCATTCTGGACTATTTGTGATGGTAGCACCATTGCATTGGCTAAATGTAGCACTGTCAGTAACATACAGGCTTCTCGTCCATTTAATTTCAGTTGAAGGGGAGATTAGGCAGTGACTTGCCTAAATAAAAAAAAGTCCTTTCGGGTACTGAGTGTAAATCTTATTTGGTGTTAAACTCTACCTCTATAAAGGCACCATGTAATTTTGGTTCTTAAGAGATTCTCCTAAGAATTTACATATCCAGTTTGGGTCACTGTATGCTTATTAATGAATTAGAGACTTGTTGTATATGAAGCGTGTGTATATATAATTTTAAAGAAACGTTTTGTCTTTTTGCAGGTGTCCCTGGCATCAAACTTTTCAGCGTGTCGTGTGTACTGGAATCCTGCTGCTACTATGGAGAAGGAAAGTTATGTTGAAAGCGTACTGCGGAAGAGTGCTCCACGTATAAGGTACTGCTATGGGATAAACAGT